AACGACATGTCTCAGACCGCATTCGTGAACACAAAGCAGACCTGAAACACGGTAGGATCAACACCTCGGCCGTGGCAGATCACTGTTATAATTCAGTAGGCTCACATGACATTGACTTCTCCAAGACAGAGGTTCTTTGCAAGCCATCTGGCTACCATGAGAGATTCGTTCATGAGGCTATCCACATATACAAACACAGAGACAATTTCAACCGAGAAGATGGATTCTGGCTTAGCAATCATTTGAAGGATTTGATTAACCATTTCGGGTCTTAATTGATTGATCACGCTTAAGGTGGCTTTCAGACCGCATCCATTATTTTCGTCTCCCCCCTCCTCTTTTCCGAACATAGATGGACTCATCCATCTGAACAAACTGTCAAATCTCTCTCCGTGGTGCTAACGTTAAAAAAAACACCACTTTTTTCACATTTTCTTGATGTGGTTTTAACACCTGATGATGATTGCTTGTGTTGCAGTCGAAACATCGTGAAAATTTTATTGTTTTATATTTTTATTATTTTATTGTTTCCCTTCTACGTGACTTTACCGAAAGAACCAAGAATATGAATCCCTGCAGTCACGAAAGCTTTAAATCAAAAGGTAAAGAGGAGTCTGCTGTTATTATTACGAGTACTTTGGAATCAACTAAGAGTCACTCTGCATAAGGGCCACTGACAGAATTGTGAACCCGCTGTATTTGTTTTCTGTCATCACTGCGTCGATAACGAGAAGACAGCGACCCGGTTAACTTGCAGCGCTGGGCCGCGTCCGCGTGCGGTTGGCTCCATTGGACCGATGTTGCTCCAACGTTGGCCCAACGTCCCATGGTTGCTGGGGAGTCGCGTTGAGTTGCGCTTGCGCACCGCTGCAAAACAAATGTTGCCAGAAATGATTATTGGTCATTGGTCCAAAAGGGACCCACAGGCTGATTGCCCTGGATGTCACTTTTAGTTTATTTTGTTTGTGCCAATTTGTAGTCTTGTTATTTTTTTGTAACACTCTGTACAACTTGTAGATGCAACCTGATGAGTCGGACTGCTGTCCGATGGGTGACCTTCGCCGTGGTTCTGCCCGCGCCGCGAGCTGGCGCATAATTTTCAGAAAATATAAACGGGGAGAAAGACGCCTCCTCCCCCCGCGCTCTGCCCCGCATCGCCGATGACCTCCGCGTGACCCCAACGCTGCCGCCCTCCACCCCTCCTCCATCTCTCGTTTTCGCTTCGCTCTCCGCTGACGGCCGATTGGCCCATTTATTAAAAAAAAATCTCTCCTGGGCTCCCAGAGGACCGCGTTCTGCGATGGAAACAGCCTACGGCAAGCACTGTCCTGAAGGCCCGAACCGTTATATGGCCGGCAACAAACGGCACTATCAAAGCTGTAATAGACAAGAGTTTACACGTTTGTGGAATTGAGCAAGGTTATTATTTAAGAGTTTGGGACAAGAGGCGATGGCAGGGAATTCGAAAGTGCAGCAGTGCGAGGGAAGAAGTGATTAGCATGGTTGGCTACGTATGGTGTGAAAGAAGGTCAACACATGCATATATACGTGGTGAGTGAGTGTGTGGATGAATAACTGAGCTGTTGTGACCTGCAGTGTGGTGAGTGGATGAGTCGGTGAGTGGGCTGTTGTTACTAAGTGTAGTGGTTGAGACAAAACTCTCAGTCTGGTCGACCGAGTCTCCAACACAGGCGGAGGAAACGAGGAGTGAAGTTCATGGAAATGGTAACCATGGCAGTAGTGATAGAAGAGTGATAAGGAGGTGATTGACCCTCGGCGTGCAAGTGGCTGGAGTGAATTAGCCAGTGCTCGATCATCAAACAACCCGATTGCTTGACGGTTTGATGAACAAATGCAAATCTCGAATTATTTGTCAATGAACGTTCGTTTTGACTTGAGAAGACGTTTGACGCAAGAAGAAGAAGAAAAACAGCAGCTGACGGAGAAACCCAGCGGTGCTGATCATCATGTGCAGAGGTCGTGGCTTACAGAGGTCGTGACTTAGAGGTCGTGGCTTAGAGATCGTGGCTTAGAGATCGTGGCTTACAGAGGGTCGTGACTTACAGAGATCGTGGCTTACAGAGGGCGTGGCTTACAGAGGTCGTGACTTACAGAGGTCGTGACTTACAGAGATCGTGGCTTACAGAGGTCATGGCTTACGGAGCATGCGGCCAAGCACAGGGAGACATTTTTTTAATGAACACGAACTTCCGATTCATTTATATTTTATTTGACTGCTCTCCTTCGCCAAGGAAAGCCTCACCGAGTCTCGAGCAACTTTTCAGGAGGGTCCTGCCAAGTTTCTGCAGTCGAGGGCAACGTGGATGCTCTGTGTACTCCCAATTGAGTAATTTGTTTTGTGATCTTTCAGCATTCGGCTGTTTGGCCAATCTCAGTTACACTTTGTGTGTTTCTTTTTCACCGTGCCAGCTGGGCGATTTGTGCCGTTGCTGGCGATGGAGACAGCGGCACAACATCCTCAAAACACGGGCTAAAAGGAATGTCTGTGTTGGATTGTGGGTAATAACTTATAATATAAACAGGAAAGGGTCTGTATTACCACAAACAAAATAAAACTAGAATAGCATTCATGACTGTCAGCCTGGTGGTCATTTTGGAGCTGTGTTGTCCAGTAACTTTTGTTTAAGCAGCAAATCCTGAACTGGTTTCAACTCTTCGAGTCTCATCAGCAGAGTCTGGTCTGTTTAACAAATGGCGCTGTAAAACATTGGTCCAGAATCCTCATAGGCTAACGTACTCAACTATTGTTTTACGTGGCTAGACGGAGCTTGTAATTATTATAGGGTCGCCCAATAGCTTTGACGCAATAAATTGATAGATATAAAACGTGTTAACTCGTCGAGAGTGCTATCTGAATGTAGTGACATCGGAGGCAGTGCTGCCCCTCACTTGTGGGAGAAGGCTGTCGGCCACAGACCAGGGTCCCGACCTTCCACCGGGGACCTTCGCTTCGCCGTTGGCCAAACGTGTCGCTAATTTGTCTGAAGAGAGATTCGCATGCGTCGGATGGTTTGGCGTTTGTCAGCATGACAAACACTTGCGGAGAAGACAGTTACACTGAAAGCTAATTAAATTTTTACAATTTTTAGTTACCAGCATCACCGAAGTGTAGTGCGACTGGGGCTCACAGATAGAGACTTCTGGCGCCGGGGCTGTATTTCGCACGTGTACGCACGTGTGCGTACGTGCGAGCACTGTTTACTGTAAATTGATATAATCTATTAAGCAAATGAAACCGGGTGTGCCTTTTTTAAACTGCTTGCGCCAGCCACTCTGTTTTCCAGGAGTCACAACCTCAGCTTGAATTTCTTGTTTTCAATCTGCTTTCCCTTCATGGGGGTGAGTGGACGTGATTTGAACGAGGAGGGAGGGGGGGTGGAGTTTGGGGGGACAGAGTCGGGCGTTGATTTGCTCCGTCGTAGGATTCTGCCCACGCCGACGCGTTCCGCGAGAGAGCGGGGAGCACGTGGTCCGGAGTCGCCGCCACGGTGCCGAGCCCCCTGGAGTGAGCGTGGAGTCTCCGGTCGCCCTTGGCGGAGCCCATTCCGCACGTCTGGCCTCGAACTGATTGTTTTCTATTTGTCCCCCAAATGTATCCCGTTTGCGCTATCGGTGCCACGTCGTGAGACGAAGCTTCCATTCGGATCTCTCGAAGAGCGGCACGACCCTTCGGGTCAGAGAACGGCCCGCAGAAGCGGATGCTACAAAGCTACCTCCGAGATCCGGCCTCGTACCGATGAACGGCACGGGCAGAGTGGTCGAGAGGATGGTCGTGACGTCGTTGGGGATGCCGTGGCAGGAGGGGATAAGCAGCAGCTTGGAATAGAACGTGGCGTGAGGCGTGAGCAGGAAGGTTGTGATGGGTGGGACGCACGGTGTGCAGCGTGGAGGAGGGCATCCAGAGGTCGGAGACGAAAGGGGAAGACCTCAAGCCACACGGGGGTGGTGGTGAAATTGCAAGAGCGGTGCTTGGAGGATGTGTTGCCTGTGTAGCAAGGAGAAGATGATGTGATAGCTTAAGAGCAGACTTAGAAGGTCGGTCATCTGGTCGTGGGATCTAGCAGACGGAAGGAAGCGATAGCAGGCACGTCAGCAGTGACTTGTGGACGTGCCGTATCGCTGTGCACAGCCGAGGTACGTTTTGGGCAGCGTTGAACCGTGACCGCGGAGTGCACGCGCGCTGGGTTGGAGTCCGGGCCTGGTGGAAGCGAGAGAAGAGGCAAGCGTGCAACGGACGCACACACACAGTCGTGACATGTCGTTGGAGGTTTGGAGGTGAAGAGGCACACGACGGTGGTGACGAGGATGACGGTGGTGGTTGATGATGAATCGACCGCCGCCTCTGCCCACCCGGCAGTAGGAGTGGGTTGAGCAGTCAGTTGGCAGACGTCTGCAAGATCGTCCACGGACTCGTGCCGGTCTGCCTCTCCCCCCCCTTGTGCCGCTCCACTCCCCTGCACGCACTCTCTGCTCCAGCAGCCGAGGCTCTCCGTCAATCCCCCAGTCAGCCTTCGCTCGGTGGGAAGTCGCTCATTATATTTTTCCGCTCCTATGGTCTGCAACTCTCTTACCCTAGTCATCTGTGCTGTCGACTGCTTCCACCTTTTCAATTCCAGGCTCAAGACCTTCCTTATCCCCCCCCCCTCCCCCGGAATACTCGACTGCGTCTCTCTGAAACAATAATGTCCACTGTTCCTGCACAGCGTCTCGAGGTGTGGTCGCACGTGGACGCTACATTAATCCACATTGTGCTGAATTGTATTGACGGTTACGCGAGGCTGTGCGTTCGGGCTGTGGTCTCTTGCAGGACATCGCAGGGACTGCAACGTCCACCTCGCAGCAGGCGGTGTTTGTTGTTGATTCCTCGTTGACCCTGATCCCGCGTAAAGAGAGAGCTCGGTTCAGACAGAACGATCGCGCAATCGCAGCCCCCAAAGTCTCACACCGTGGCATTCGCTCGCTCTGTTTGTGTTTCACAGCATATGAAGCGGACAAGAGGCTGCCCCTGCGGGAGATAAACATCGTCGCCTCCGTTGAGATTCAGCTCTCCTTTCCGGGAGAAACTCCACGGGAGCGCGGCCCCTTACCTGAAACGGCCGCGACCGCCAACATGGCTGCTTCCGTGGGGCCTCCCACGCCGGGCCTCCTCTGGGGTCAGGGGTCTTCATTGGTGTAGCCGCAGGGACCGAACGACGGCAGAGGATCGACAGCTCCTCTCGTCATCGTCGTCGCAGCGCCCCCTCGTTGGCGTTTAACTCGTCGGGGTCCCTGCTCCAAGTGCCGCCCCCTTTCTGTGCTGGCGAGACCATCGGTCTGGCGATGAGCTCGGGCATCCTCGCGTCCTGCCACGGCGAGCAAGCGGCAAACTTTGCTCACTCCGGATCGCAGAGCGGATGACTGAGCGCCGGAGTCGGTGGAGGAATCCGGGTGGGCGGGCAACCGCGGTGGATTTAAACTTTTATGCTACGACAGGAACAAAGAGCGCGGCCTCAAACCTTTGAAGCTTAAAACCAAAAAAATCTCGCAGAATTAAAGTCAAGAGTGGCACAACTAAAATTTCGATGCATTCACGACCAGGTCAGAGCCAGACACAGACAGTGCAATATGCTTTGGCAAGGGGCCCTGGTTTAGAACAGAAAACAATTACCGATAAAATACATCTGAGTCCGTCCAGGGGTTGTTGAAAGACACGGAGCGTCGCCTCACAGCAGTTGAGTGTCTCACCGCCTGAACGCTGAATGTTGCCTTGCAGCAGTTTGGTCCAGAAGGCGACCCTGATCTCGGCCGCGGAAGACGGCTCTAGCCGGTTGGCATCGTTGCTCGCGCAGCGGTAGAGTGCGGCTCGCGCCGGTGTCTCAGCATCTCAGCTCCAGGGCAGCAGCAGTCGTAACGATCGACGAGCAACCGGCGAAACGTCGCAATGCAGGACCCTCCTGAAAAAAACCATAAGACTCATTGAGCCTTTGCCGGCTTAATAAAGGATTTATAATTACGTAATTACTGGCAGTGCCAGTGCTCCTAGTGTAGTGGGAGTACTGTCAGTGATAGCGCGGTTTGAGGTAGCACTAGCATCGGCAGTAGTGGTAGCAGTAGCGGCGGTGGCCATAGCGGTAGCACTGGTAGTAGCGGTGGTATCAGGATCGGTGGTAGGATTGGAAGTGGTATCGACGGCAGGAGTGTCGGTGGCATTGGCGGTAGCGGCGTTCTTATCGGCGGTAGCACTGGTGTTGCCGGCAGCGCTGACGCCGGTCGTGGCCGTGGCGGTGCCGGTGGTGCGCTACGGGAAGCCCCGGAGCGAGCGGGCCATGGGCCAGAAGGTGGCGGGCGGAGCGAAAGCGACCGAGACCCCGGACCCGGCTCGTCGAGGCCACGGCCACGGCGGCGCCTCGGCTCGCGCGCCCGACCTCTTCTGGCCGGCGCGCCTCGACTCCCTGCTGGAGCTGCCGCCGGCGCCGCCGGAGGTGGCGCTGAGGCACGCGTGGAACCCCGAGGACCGCTCGCTCAACGTGTTCGTCAAGGACGACGACCCCCTGACTTTCCACCGGCACCCCGTCGCGCAGAGCACGGACGCCATCCGCGGCAAGGTGAGAGGGGTGCACGGGGAGAGAGAGGGGGGGGGGACTAGGACAGAGAGAGGGGACTGGGAGAGAGAGGGGGCTGGGAGAGAGAGGGGACTGGGAGAGAGAGGGGACTGGGAGAGAGAGGGGGGACTAGGACAGAGAGAGGGGACTGGGAGAGAGAGGGGACTGGGAGAGAGAGGGGGGGACTAGGACAGAGAGAGGGGACTGGGAGAGAGAGGGGACTGGGAGAGAGAGGGGACTGGGAGAGAGAAGGGACTGGGAGAGAGAGGGGGGGACTAGGACAGAGAGAGGGGACTGGGAGAGAGAGGGGACTGGGAGAGAGAGGGGGGGACTAGGACAGAGAGAGGGGACTGGGAGAGAGAGGGGACTGGGAGAGAGAGGGGACTGGGAGAGAGAGGGGGGGGGGACTAGGACAGAGAGAGGACTGGGAGAGAGAGGGGACTGGGAGAGAGAGGGGACGATGGAGACAGTGAGAGGCACAAGTCCATGAGAATCACTCGAGCCCAGGGGAAAGGGAGCATGGCAAGAGAGGGGCAAATGATGAAGGGGCCATGGGAACCTGGGGTACAGGGACATCGGCACCAGTTCATCATCATCATTCTCGCCGGCCATGATCTATCCACTGCTGGCTGAACGCCTCTCCCCTTGCCATGTCGGTCACGCAGTTGGTTTGACCGTGCTTCAGCAGGCCGGTCAGTGTGGGTTGGTGAAGGAAGCGCCGCCCTGGTGTTAGCCGTGGTCGGGAATCGAACTCGGGTAGCCTGCTTCATAGTGCAGTGCACTAACCACTGAACCAGTACTCCACCGCATTATTAATGGTACTGTACATGATTAGTAACGAGTATTTTATTTATTTTTTATACATTTAATAATTCTGTAAATTGATAATGCCGCCACTGCTGAATAATTAAACCAACTGACCACAGTGAACCATGCTTGTCAATGAAACAAACAGTTGAGTCTGCCGGTGAGAACCTGTGTGTGCCGGTGAAGCTGCGTGCGTGCCGGTGAGACCCCATGCCGGCCAGACGTCTCTCGGTGGCTCTGGCCACAAATTTGCGCTCCACGATTTGATCGAGAGTGTGCGGTGAGGCCGGCACGGTGGCATGGTGAGCTCGAAACGGCGGCGCTTCTTCTCCGGCATTAATATTGCATCGTGCACTTAGACGCCAGCCCCCTCCGTACCCCGAGCCTTCGATTTTTTTTTTATCTTTCTCTTCTGCACGTCATTGCCACTGTGTTTAACATGCATAATTCAAATACGCGCGTCTGCCGTATGGAGCATGCGCCGTGCGCGCGCTCTGTGGCTGTTCATCGAGGCGGAGAGAGACCCCGGTTAGTCCGGATAAAAAAGCCCTTTTGTCAAGCGCCTATTAAGGAGAGTGTGGTGGCACAGGAATTCATCATAGATTTCTGTGTCAGGTCGTGCGAGTAAAACGTGTCGCAAACCCCGCACCTCCCGAATAGCACGGTTGGCCATGTACGGTGCAAAAGAAGTTCAACATACGTACACTACCCACCCCCCCTTCACCCTCCACGGCAGATTAAAAAAAGCTATCACGCGAACAAACGTGCCAGTCTCTGCATTGCCGGAGAAAGAGTCAAGGATGCAATGTGATGGGAATGGGAAGAGAAAAAAATGGGAAATGAGAGGAAAAGGATTTGAGAGAAACAGAGAAACGGGAGCAAAGGGATCAGGAGAGATGAGGATGGGGAGGAAGAGAGGCGGCACCAGGGTCTCAACGCTGCACCAGGGTCTCAACGCTGCTGCACAAGGGTCTCAACGCTGCACCAGGGTCTCGACACTGCACCAGGGTCTCAACGCTGCACCAGGATCTCGATGCTGCACAAGGGTCTCAATGCTGCACCAGGGTCTCAACGCTGCTGCACCAGGGTCTCGACGAGGCTGCACCAGGGTCTCGATGCTGCACCAGGGTCTCGACGAGGCTGCACCAGGGTCTCGATGCTGCACCAGGGTCTCGATGCTGCACCAGGGTCTCGACGCTGCACCAGGGTCTCAATGCTGCACCAGGATCTCGATGCTGCACCAGGGTCTCAATGCTGCACCAGGGTCTCAACGCTGCACCAGGGTCTCAACGCTGCACCAGGGTCTCGACGCTGCACCAGGGTCTCGACGCTGCACCAGGGTCTCGATGCTGCACCAGGATCTCGATGCTGCACCAGGATCTCGATGCTGCAAAAGGGTCTCAATGCTGCACCAGGGTCTCGACGCTGCACCAGGGTCTCAACGCTGCACCAGGATCTCGACGAGGCTGCACCAGGGTCTCGACGAGGCTGCACCAGGGTCTCGATGCTGCACCAGGGTCTCGATGCTGCACCAGGGTCTCGACGAGGCTGCACCAGGGTCTCGACGAGGCTGCACCAGGGTCTCGACGAGGCTGCACCAGGGTCTCGACGAGGCTGCACCAGGGTCTCGATGCTGCACCAGGGTCTCGACGAGGCTGCACCAGGGTCTCGACGAGGCTGCACCAGGGTCTCGACGAGGCTGCACCAGGGTCTCGATGCTGCACCAGGGTCTCGATGCTGCACCAGGGTCTCGACGCTGCTTCCGCTGCACGGAGCGGAGTCTGTTCTCACAGTGGGCGGGGAGAGGGCGGAGGGGTTCAGAGTCGGGGTGATTTATGGGAGGTTTGGGCTAGCGATGACGATAAATACTCTTTGGTTCTTTCGTTAAAGTCACGTGGGTATAAAATAAATAAAATAACGACGTTTCGGGCGCAACACAAGCGTCCATCATCAGGTGGGACAACCACAGCAAGAAACAATTGCTGAAGTGGACAAAAGGGCTGCTGTGACAAGAGGTTATATAGGCTACGAGAGGGGGGGAGGAGCCAGGGAGGAGAGATAGAGAGGGGGGTTTGTCGGGTAGGGGGAGTGGAGCGCTGCTAGAGGGATTAGAAGGTGAGCAAGGCAAAATGCCGTGGGGGGGGGGGTGGGCGGGGCTGGGAGTGGGAGGCTGAAGAAACTGGAGATGCGGATATGAAGGCAACACCATAAAGCAGTTAAGGTTTTACCTGGCTAACAACATCCTTCCAATGATTGCTCAATTTGTATCCACCCCCCCCCCCCCTGGAATTTTGCCTTGCTTGTCTTCTAATCTCTACCCCCCCCCCCCATCTCTCCTCCCTTGCTCCTCCCCTCTCTAACCTATATAACCTCTTGTCACGGCAGCCCTTTTGCCCACTTCAGCAATTGTTTCTTGCTGTGGTTGTCCCACCTGATGACGGACGCTTGTGTTACGCCCAAAACGTCGTGATTTAATTTATTTTATTTGATACCTACTATGTGACTACCGAAAGAACCAAAGAGTATGGATCCCTGCAGTCACCAAAAATTAAAATCTAGATTGATGACGATAAAGTTGGTGAACCTAGACTTTGATAATGATTGTGAAAATGATGACAATGATGGAAAATCTGAATGATGATGGACGACAACGTTCAACACAATGGTGACAACGATGACCACAATGACGAGATTGCTGATTAAACTTGGAACTCCTCCCCGCGTGCGTGCATCGCCCGTGCCGCCCAGGTTGGCTACACGCGCGGCCTGCACGTGTGGGAGATCCGCTGGCCGAGCCGCCAGCGCGGCACGCACGCCGTGGTCGGCGTCGCCACGTCCGACGCGCCGCTCCACTCCGTCGGCTACGCGGCGCTCACCGGCTCCACCGCGGACTCCTGGGGCTGGGACCTGGGCCGCAACAGGCTCCTGCACGACTGCAGGAACCGGGCCGACGGCGGCGGCGGGCGCGCCTACCCGGACACGCCGGCGCCGCTCGGGACGTTCGAGGTGCCGGACCTGTTCCTCGTCGTGCTCGACATGGACGAGGGCACGCTGAGCTTCGTGGCCAGCGGCCGCTGCCTGGGCGTCGCGTTCCGCGGCCTGCGCGGGAAGAAGCTCTACCCCGTCGTGAGCGCCGTGTGGGGCCACTGCGAGATCACCATGCGCTACGTCAACGGCCTGGACCGTGAGTCGCGTCGGTGGAGAGACGGGCGCCCGTTTATTTTATTACTTACATTCCACACATTGACGGCGATGGTTGTTTCGGTGGCAAGTGCTCTTAGCGAGCATCCACGAAGGCCGACGTGGCGCACGAGGGGATGGCGCCCGGCCACCTTTGCGTGCCAGTGATGAAATGTGCACACCGCACCAGGTACTCATTTAAGGCTGAGCCGACCTAGAAAAGGCCCCCAGGATCGGTTCAGATAATCGCCGCTGATATTGGCCAAGAGTGGGAATCGAACTGGGTGTGCGGGGTTTGCAGTATAATGGGTGAGCCACTGCACCAGCACACACCGCAGATAAAAACATCCTCCATTCACGAAGTGATGGTGACATCACCATGGTACTTGTGCCATACTAGGTGCACTTTAAGATTTCTTGAAGTGTCGAAGGCTTGCTGTCAGGAGGTGACGAGACAGACCCAGGTTCCATGGCTTAACTGCCCGAGATGGCTGGCAGATGCACCTCCTGTGCTCCTCATTGTGTCAACTTGTCTTGCTTTTGCTGCTGTCGCTTCTCTGTCCTCAATTGTTGTTGAGGGATGACTGCCTCCTACTGCCCAATAGCACACACACACACGTACACACACAGTCACACACATGAGCCAAAGACGCAGAGAAGCCACATTCCGTGCAGCTGGTTGCGACCAGAGTTGCCTAAGATTGTAAACTGACAGTGCTGGTGTGTGCGTGTGTGTGCGCGCACGTGTGTGTGCAAGTGTGTACGTGTGGACTGAATAGCGAGCAGTAGCGTCGTGGTTAGCACACTGCACTACAAGCCCGGCGACCCGAGTTCGGTTCTGAACCGGTCCTGAGCCTCCCCAAGGTCGACTCAGCCTTAAATGAGCACCTGGTTCGGTGTGTAAACATCGCCACCGGGGAGACCGAGGCGGCCGTGCGCGGTGCTGGCCACACCGTCCCGATTACGTGGAGGCGTGACGGCCTTCACTGTAAGCGCTACTCGCTAACAGCACTTGCCCCAACAGCCTGTGACAGGCTATATGGGGGATCCTCGTCTTTGTGCACACTTGTGCACGCATGCAGAACAGTTTAGGTCTTTTGTCCTGGGATTTGATTTAAATGTAAAGAGAAACAAGAGTCTGGGCGGGCCTGCGAGGGTAGTGGGAGGCAGGGTCGGTGGGGCTGAAGAGCAGCGGCAGAGCCAGCGGGACGAGGGAAGCAAAAGGCGTTGGTAATAAAGCGCCAGATAAATTACGCCCCGGGGAAATAAAACCCAGAAATCAAGGGGCCCTGTTGCCAAGGCACGCAACCCAATGTAACCGGGGCGCATGGCAATGCCCGACGTCGATTATTTACCCGGATTATGATCCAGGAGAGCTCGCTCGAGTCTCATGGCGAATTTCCAGGAAGGCCCTGAATTGGCACGCTGGGGTCAGTTTGGGTGTTTTTTAATAATATTTAACAAGCGTCTCGCGAGTGGAAGGCGAACGGAGTAACCCGGGGAAACCCCCTCCCTGCGCCTACGAGGGGAGATGCTCAACAGGTTCGCAGACAGGCTGACGTCCCACTTGCTGTGCTGGCCACCTCCTGCCCCACCTCACTGCCCAGCTGCTTTGGGATGAGTTCACGAACCGACTCCACTTCGCCCCCTGCTGTGAAAACTTAGCAGGACACTCCTGACAAAGAGTGGAGACTCGCCGAGTACGCAAGCGAAGTAAACTTTCTCTACTGACTCCTGGCCACTACCGCACAACCCCGCGGTTATGGGAGTTTTGCACATCTCTACGTGATCCACCAACCTTCGCCTCCTAACCACTGACCATAGACTTGAGGCTACACCAAAGCACAAAACTGTTTACTCAGCGTGGAGAGACGGGTGACTCTCAGCCACCGTGGAGCTCTTTTTGGTATTGTCATAAACTCGCGCAACGCTGCCACGTCCTCCCACGTCGCCTTCCAGCGTAACGCGGGAGAACGTCCAAGCGGGCGGGCGGGTGACGATGGCGGCTGTCAGGTTTTGCGAGGCAGGAGGAGGATTGATGAGATGCAACCACGTTTCTAGGAGGCGGCTAAGAATGTGGGGTGCTGGCAGGAGGTGGGAGAGGGTCGTTAATTCTGGGGGCTGGGATGACTTCGGTGGTGGTGGCGGTGGTGGCGGCGTATCCAGGGATTATTGGAGAGCGCGGTGGTGCGTGCACGGGGCCGAAAAGAGGCAAGCGCAGTAGCCGCCATCACCGCTTGGGCCCTGGGATTTCTCTTCTCGCGACATTTTTTCTGCGTACCTTTCAACAACGTTGATGATGAGGATCGGTCGTCGCCATCGTCAATTATTATTGATTTGAGACCAATGGCTGCCACCTCATTGTTGGCTATGATGCTGCCAGACGGTGCTCACTGACGGCACTTTCCTTAGCGGTCTACGCACGCCTAAAGGGGACATTTTAGTGTTCCTTGTACCGTGGATGGGTTCAAATCCGCCCCCACGATTCTCGCCGCTCTCTGTTCCCACCGCCCCCCACAGTCGTGACGGTGAACGCAAGCCCGGCGTTTAGTTCGCTCGAGTTGCTACGGCAACTTGGTTCAGAGGTCGGACCGCTGAGCCGGCGCTTGCTAACGGCACCTTCCTAAGCGGTCTACGCGCACCTAAAGGAGATTCTTTGGTGTTCCTTGTATCTTGCACGTGAAAGAGCACGTAGCATCGTTTACAAGAGTACCACAAAGGTGGCCGGGTTTGGTGCTGGCCACCCACCCCCTCGTGTACCGTGGCGAACTTCAAAGGTGCTCGCTAACAGCGCTTGCCCCAACAGTCTGTTAAGGCTCTACGGGGGATCTTTGTCTTTATGTACGCATGTGCGTGTGTGCATGCGTGTGTTCATGCTCTCAGTTTGACCCAGGCACGTTTGTGTGTGTGTGTATACCCGCGTGCTCACGATGCTCGTGTGCGTGCGTGTGTATTTTCTCGGCGCTCCTCCTCCGTCCGTCCGTCTCCATCGCCCGTCGCCACAGCCGAGCCGCTGCCGCTGGTGGAGCTGTGCCGCCGCGCCGTGCGCCTCGCGCTCGGTCACGAGCGGCTCCACGAAGTGGACGCCCTCCCGCTGCCCGCCGCGCTCAGGAGCTACCTCCTGTACCACTGACGGTGCGGCCGCCGCCGGCCCCGACACCGCCTACGCCGGCATCGCCAGCAGAGTCGACGTCGCGAGCGGTTTCAAAAACAGCGTCGCCCACTGCCACCGCCACCGCGCTTTGATCCACGAGCACTGCCACCAGCAGTCACCACCGCCACCTCTGCACTACAATTACCAGCGGCGTCACCACGACCACGAGTATCGCCGTCGCAAGTCGGTCGCTGTTATTTCCATCTTCTGTATCATCGTCACGATCGTCATCGGGTCATTATCACCGTTAGCATAATCCTCATCAGGATTGAACACATCATCATCATCATCACAGCCAGTCATGAGCATTGTTGGTGATCGTTTTCATCCCGCGAGTCCCGATCATTTCAATCGGCGCCGGCTCGACGCTTCGCCGGCACCCTCCGCCCGCGGTGCCGGGCGGAGACGAGCGCCGTCGTCGAGGCCGCGTGGACCCGCCGGGCGTGGGGGGGGGGGCGACGAGGCCGTCGCCCCGCGCCGCCTCCCCGCCGTCTCCTCACCGCGGCGGCGGCGGCGTCGACCGTCGAGGAGCGGCGGGAGGGGAGCGCTACTCGTCGAGGGTCTCGACGAGAGCCGCTCGGGAAACCGGCGTGGCACGTCCTGGGGGACCCCCGCGGGAGACGCGGCGCCGGATCGCGAAGGCTGCGACGAAGCCGGCGGCCGCGGAGGCGCCCGGCGTGACGTCGCGCGCTCGCGAGAACCACGGGGGACGCGAGGAAGGATGGCGCTGGGAGAGACGTTCAATCCAGGGTTCGAATCTGCCTCCACGATTCTCGCCGCTCTCCGTCGCCACCGCTACCCACGCCGCGGTCGTGACGGTGAACGCAAGTCGCCGTTTGGTTCGCACGAGTTGCCGCGGCCGCTTCGTTCGGAGGTCGGAGCTTCGAACCGGCACCGCCAACGTCCTGGGTTGGATGCCGAGTTTCAGCTGTCCGTGATTAGACCGGGTACTGAAATCATAGTGCCGAGTCGATGGAGCCGGCCCCGTTACCGATCATCACACAAACAACCCCCATCACATTGCTCTTGCATTTTGCATGCAATTCGGCAAAAAATTCCAGGACTTATAATAAATAAACTTGAGTTTGACTCATGCCACCGACATCATAAATCAACATTGCTGTAGCAGGGATGTGTGGGGAAGAGCAGCACCCCCGGGTGTGGATTGAAGGAATTTCGGAAGCAGTTCTGCGGTATCTCCTTCTGCGGCCATTCTCGATCACAGGGCGATGTGACGGCTCACTGCTCCTCGACGGTTCCCACCGCATTCTCCACCTCGTGATTTTGACGCGAATAGCACAATTGTAAAATACATGGGGGGTCGGGCTTGGGGTGGGGGGGGGGCACATTAACTTTTTGAACAAATGAGACTTCACATCCCTGAATGGTTTCTGCCACTACGCAACTCAGTGGTAATGTAGGTCAAGAGACGGATCGATTGTCAGGGGAGTCGGAGCCGTGTGTTTGGGACAGACACCAAGGGGGCAGCCTCAACACTGCCTGGAGAGAACGTGACTCACACCTTCATCCAGCAGTGGATAGAGAAGAGACCTGCGCTCAATTATAATCACAATATCAGCAGCATTGTTTAGCTGGAATTACAATAAGTATAACACTGCGATAACAATTCACTAGGAGTGACACAATTATCAGTTGTAATTGTCCCTGGGTCTGGATAGAGAATTGCTCCTTGCACGTGCTTTGACAGTCTTGACACTGTAGGAAAACCCAGATCGTGATGAATGAAAAGAGAACATCGTAGGAAATCGAACTACGTTGGCGAGGGTCACATTTTGGTGGTTGGGGTAACTTGGCAACGTGCCGCGCGTATCGCCGCTCGCCCACAGAGAGATGTTCACACAGCAGGCACGATGAGATCGATGGTCGGGGACGAGGAAGGGTGGATTCTAATCCCTAGATTTGGGACGCCACGACCGGCGGCGTTTACCGTCCGGGACATCAGGCAGGGCCAGTGGAGCGGCCCGCCGGCCCTCCCGACAGCTGGGGAGGCACCCAACTTCTAACCGCTTGCATTAAATAATAATAATAATGTACAGAATATACCGCTCGCAGCCACGTGCCTAAGAGAGCAGTGTCGCGACGGTGGTGGCGGCAGTAGACAGGAGGGGGCTGCGCGCTGCAGGAGCGGCTATTTGGGTTCCCGCTCCCGTAGATAGAAGGCGTCTGTCGCCTCGTCAGCGGTGGCAGTGGCCGGGTTTTGTAATTGGGGGGGAAGGTGCCGATGTGGCAGCTGTGGATCGGCCGACGGTAAAACGGGAGAGTCGGCGGCACGCCGAGCACGGTCCCCCTGCATCGCCCGAGCGGAGACGACGCTGCCGTCTCAGCGGCCGAAGCGGTTAGCGAGCCGCCTATTGAACTCCGAGCACAACGGCAACGGCTTACCCAACGCAGTCGCTAAGCAAGTGCCAGCAGCAGCGTTGTCGCAGTGAGATGTGGGGAATATTGGCGGTGGCTCTGTCAGTTAACAATTGAAAAGCAAAATGTATAATTAAAAAAGAATCCATTATCGTCATGCCTATAGGTTTGGTGACTGAAGCGCGTGAGATTTCGTCAAAGTAAAGGGCTGGTACCTGCCCCCCTGGAGACCTCACTCCACGGCCGCTCCCCCTTGGGCAATGAAACGCACGGCGATCGTGGCGGTGATCCCGGCCGTCGGCAATCATAACGCAGATGTACGAAATTATTTACCAAATAATATATTTATATCCTCGCTGCGAGCTTGGCATGAAGGACGCAAAGCCACCGGCTCAGTCTGCGACTGGCACTGCCCGAGCATTTTGTACGATTTACGATGGTTTATTATGTTTTTAGTTGCTACACAATTTCTGTACGGAGACCGTTTACTCAGGGGTAGGGGCGGGGTGGTGGGGGATTTGCCGATTGCACTCCCAGGATTTCCTGCTGCGGCCGTAAATTCACGGAGCCGATCGGCAGATAACGCTTGTCGTCTCGAGCCTCGGTCCGACAAAGTGACAATTTACACGTGCGGCTAGCGAGCTCGTCGCCAGAGCCCGGCGGTGTCAACGCGTTGTGTCATGGCGCGCTCGAGTGCGGCACGGCCTCGACCTCGTAAACGCGTCTCAAGATGCCCGACCACGTCTCAAGATGCCCTACAGGGACGTCACCGCGGAGGCCGTTGGCGATCGTGTTCTGCAGCTCTCCCGATGTCTTTTTGAGGTCGTGTCGCACGGCGTTCCGCACGACACCCGATGTTTCGCTCCGCGCGCCAGGAGCATCGACTTGAAGCGACACGTCAGACATCGTGCCGAACGCGCGTTACGACCCAAACGCACGTCCAAGAACCGTGTCCAGCCATATTGAGCCATATTTTTTTACATTTCAGGAGAACCGTTAAAAATATTTCGACTTACATCCTCATTCAGACACGCGTAATAACTTTGGGCCGTGGTCTGCGCCCTCCTGGACTTGACAAATTTATGGAAGCGTAGAGAGGATGTCATCTTGGCAGAGAAACATAAACAACCTTGAAATCAGCGGAATGCTAATAAGAGAAGGGTCCACGTGCTGGCCATGTGATTTGATTTGGGCTCGTGATTGGAGGTCCTCTTGTTTCCACCATCCCCATTCTACCGTCACTCATTTGATTGCTGCGTGGTTTATAGCACCGTCATCACACCATGAGCCTAATTGTAGTGCTCGCCATATCACTTGCCTGTAATTTTCACGGATCGGAAATAATTCTCACAGGCACGATTCAATGCATTTATCGCGACCGTAAAAAAAAACTGGTCAGACACAAATCAATGCATCGTTCAAATATGATTTTAAAAGTCTTTAATTATCATTATAAGCATAAAATATTCCTCCCAAGGTAAAAATGCTGCCACAGTGGTGTGGCGGTAGCACACTGGACGAGCAATCCAAAGGTCACTGGCGCGACAGTTAAAACAATGCTGCAAGTTTATTAACCACGCCTCTGTCCACCCAGCAGTTTTAAATGGTTATATCACAGTCGATCCACAGGTCACGTGTGGTGGGGTAAAGTGTGGGTACTCCGACCCCCTAGCTACAACCAGCTGGAGCGAGCGGTCTTCTGAAACACGTTCTTATAGTCCATGGGCCTAGAGCAGAAATGCGACACCACCTCAGGTATTTACTTGATAACACACTCGATTAAATTGGTTACCACATAGCCCACTATTCTTGGCTACAATTAAACCGTAACCGCGAGGCGTTTGCCATCTCAAGGTGGCACCGAAAAGTAAAACGTGGACCGTAAGCGGCCAGCCGCTCTCCTCAAGAGCCACCGCCGGCGACCGTGGACGATTTCAGGCCACGGTGGGCAGCAGCGGGGGGGGGGAGCCATGTCCAAACCTCGGCGGGGTCCGCTCACAACACTGCCGAAGGTCATTTGGTCATTTGAGCGCCGATCCCTTCACACTTCCCACTTGAGCGCCAGCTCTCTCTTCAGAGAGAGGGAGTCGGGTCACGGCACGGTTCGCTGCGCAGTTTTAAGTGAATGTTGATTTTGATGTAAATGACCTCGATGCAACGGCACACATATGTGTACTCACAAACAGCAGGAGGACTCAACTCCCACTATGCCTTGCATGCACGTCACCACCACATTGCTGCATGTAATGCTCTCGGCATGGTCCTCTACCTCGCTGGAAAGCAGACAAACGTGTAACCAAATTATACAAAATTGTAAATCCTATACTCTAATGGAAAAAAGCAAATAGGCCATGCAGGCTTCACAGGTTGTTTTGCTTATTCTCACGGTGAATTACAAACTACTAAAAAAAGCCATAAACAAAGACGCAATTACATCATTCATGGCAGGCACAACTCGTATGCTTACGCTGCCAAGAGCATCCGAGTGTGGTGAACGGACTCGCAAACAGACATTTTGCCTTATCTCGACCTCTATCCCCACTGGGGTTAAACTCTCAAATCCCACACGCACCTTCAGGAGCTCCGGCGTTATTCTTTGTGGATGGCGAGTTCACCGACCGCTGTGCCAACGACGGTGAAGCCTTCATTGGGCTTGGCGGTTTTAAAACAGGCGACAGGGCCCTAACCACAGCTGTGAGGTCGTGTCCAAACCCGTCGCGTGTGAATGCCTGCCGGTAGCGTGCATGGCAAGCGAACGCCGGTTCCAGATTTACCGCATGATGACATTTTCTTAGGGAGTGGGAACGTTTTTTTTTTTTGCAAAATTTGTTTTAAAATGGTTCGAATTACCGCCAGCCTATTATGCAACCCTCCGCCTTCCTGTTTAGTCGTTTCCATTTCAGAATCCACCCAATTCAACAACAAAAAATCTCCAAAAGAGCACCCAAGGCGTTGGGCTGCTGTCTGCCTGTGCACACAGCCTGTTGTTGTGTTCACCACCACAACTGCCACCACACGCGAGGGTTGCCACCTTTCACCACGAGCATCCTCTTCTTGAGGTAGCTGCTGGCCCCAGGGAGTCTTCCCGGGGCATGAAAAGTCCCAGTTTTTGTGAGTTTCCTCATACACCACTCCAACTCAACACATTTACACCTAGGTATCCTTCCAGCATTGTGAGATATCATTCTTATTCCCCTCGCATCTCCTGGATGTTTGTACCTCAGGTGGCAACTCAACCACAGTACCAACCCTACCCCCATGCCTACCCATGTGCACTAGAAATCCAATGCTGTACACTTGTATGCACTATCAATACCGATCTTTGGTTGTACGGCATGGGGGAGGTGGAGGTGGTGGTTCGCGAAACGTCACACGGAGCAAACCCTGAGGGCACCACACAACACCCGCAAGGAAACGCCATAATCGCTACGAGTGCCTTTTTTTATTCATGAACTCCTCTCCTTGGCTAGCCCGGCAGCTGCTGCTCCTCTCCCTTCGCATTCGTTCCTCTTTGACCGCTCGCGATCGCTACCCCGGGCCCCCGTGTGACCTCCTCCTCTCCCCCACTCCACCCGAGCGTCTGTGGAGCCTTGGCTGGCGCCTTCAGAAGTTCTCTATTTTTTATTTTATTCTGGGGTCGTCTTCATTTCACGGGCGGCGAAAGCGCCCGCGGCCGTCGTTCGTTTGCGGTTCACAGCCACCGCGAGGCGTCCCTCGTCGCTTCGTTGGGCTCACCGCTCAGAGTCGTTGGGCTCACCGCTCCGAGTCGTTGGGCTCACCGCTCGGTGTCGTTGGGCTCACCGCTCCCTCTCTTTGGGCTTACCACTCCGAGTCGTTGGCCTCACCACTCCGAGCCGTTGGCCTCACCGCTCCCTCTCGTTGGGCTCACCACTCGGTGTCGTTGGGCTCACCGCTCCCTCCCGTTGGGCTTACCACTCGGTGTCGTTGGGCTCACCGCTCCGTGTCGTTGGGCTCACCGCTCCGTGTCGTTGGGCTCACCGCTCCGTGTCGTTGGGCTCACCGCTCCGTGTCGTTGGGCTCACCGCTCCGTGTCGTTGGGCTCACCGCTCGGTGTCGTTGAGCTCACCACTCCGTGGCGTTGGGCTCACCACTCCGAGTCGTTGGGCTCACCACTCCGAGTCGTTGGCCTCACCGCTCCCTCTCGTTGGGCTCACCGCTCCTTGTTCGACTCGCGCAACGTTCCTAACTTCAGCGCATGCTTACAGTTTCCGTCACGGATATTCACCCCGAGGTTGTACTTATTGTTGTTGTTGTCGTCTCTGGGAGGTGGGGAGGCAGGGGGGGGGGGGGCAAGTTGTTTGTGACGCAAGCGCTGGGAGGTATTTATCGGTGAGATGTGACAGAAGTTCACGTTGTAGCAGGCGAGGCATTTTGCCCCAGGACTGATGAACCGGGGTTCACCACCATTCTCGCCGCAGTTGTCAGCACGGCACGTGCGACGGCAGCCATCAAAGAGTTCAACCATCCGTGATCATTTTCATTTCATTTTCGCGCATTTCAATGTCCACGTTTCGAGGCTGTAAAATTGAACGTCTGGAATTAATAGCGGCGGTGTGGAGTTGGTGGTGGGTGGACCCCGAGGAGATGCAATGGAGTCGCTAAATAAAAATGTGGGGTCCTTTCTACTCCCAGCCTCTGAGGTTGTGCTATGCGACACTCCCGACGCCACGGAATGCCTGTCGTGTCTCGGCCGTGACCTCCACACGGGCTCCGCGTGACTGCTTTGCCATCGACAGTTCATTCATTTTGGGGAGGTTTTTCTCGCTCTCTCTCCACATCGAGTTGTTTTTTTTTCGTGCGCGCCCGTTTGTTTTAGCGACTGTACAAAATGTCTTAATAAACTAAAATCTTTATGCAACGCTCATGGGTTGTCGCACTCGATGGCAAATGACACGCGCGCTCTCGTCTCCACCGCGTCTCCTGGTGCCCTGTTCTTACTCGGAACGTGTCCCGAGTTACGTGTCCCAAGTTACGTAACTCGGAACACGTCCTAGTTACGTATCCCAAGTTACGTAACTCGGAACGTATCCCGAGTTACGCCACTTTCGTTGGTGGCGCCCCAGTGGCGCGTTCACGAACTTCAGTCCGTTTCCACAACGAGCCCACGTTCTCCCGAGCTGCAAACACTCCTCGGGACTTTAAGCAGATTAGTTTTGACCCAGTTAGAAAGCAACGTTCTGTTTTGACATTTCTGTCCGACAACCTCGGGGCTATCAGGACCGATGGCCATGATTGTTGTAATCAACCTCGGGGCTATCTGGACCGATGGCCATGATTGTTGTAATCAACCTCGGGGCTATCTGGACCAATGGCCATGATTGTTGTAATCAACCTCGGGGCTATCTGGACCGATGTCCATGATTGTTGTTGTATGTTGTCGTCTCTCCCCCACCTCCGATTCGCACCGTTGGATACGTGCGGTGCGAAAGTTATTCGACATCCATACCACATAGACTCGTGGATGCGTGTGATTTATAACCACCAGCACGCCACGTAATGCGGTCTGTACAACTTTGCTGTGCCGAATGGCTCTCACTGAGCTTGTTAAGAGTCCTCGCCTTGAATAGGAGGCCCACAACACCAAGAATGATTCGGCGTCTTCTTCTTCTTGGTTCTTTCGGTAAAGTCACGTAGAATGGAAATAAAATAAAACAATAAAATAAAATTCTAACGTTTCGGCCACAACACAAGTAGCCTTCTGCAGGTGAAGGAACAGAACTGTCGAGACGACAGCGCTTCATTGAAGTCGCGAAAGCTTGAAATCGAGATTCGGCGTCTGTTCTAACAGGCCACACAGCGCGCTGACGAGGCTGCACTGGGCTGTGGCTTACAAACACAAACGTGAGACGCTCCTCGAGGCAGGATAGTGGAGGGAAGGAAGGCGGGAACGCACGCCACGGAGACTCGTAAAGATGTTGCGTCATTAATTTGGGATGAGATTGGGAGCCGGGTTGGGAACACCGAGGCGATGTTGGTGTCGCGTGGCAGTGCAGGTGAGAAGCGCTGTGCAGTGTCACAAGGCAGAGGAGTACTGCTGCGGTGGCAAAACTCGGCTCAGACTCGCCTGGGATGGCCTCGACAAGCGGCAGGAGCGAGCCACCGTCTGCCGGGGGAGGAATGTGGCCCAACAGCGCCACCACGCAGTGGCAGCAGATCGGGTTCAAGTTTACAGGACAGCCTTATATTAGCCAGTTCCCGCATTCGTTCATGGCTGCCTTTACAGCAGCAGCAGCGACACTACACCTCCGAGGGTCCCGGACGCGAAATTGCCACGCGTCTGGACAGATAAGCGATGTCGAGTTGCCTCAGCCTGTCCTGCCAGGCCGCTAGTGTCCAGCTGACTGCACGGATGCCCTCTCCATCCTGATCTTGGCTATCACACCCTAGGGGGGGGGGGGGGAGGAACCACGGCCGCAGGCTGCCGCTGGTCCATGGTCCCGTGAATGCAATCGACCGCCTGCGCTCCGCTGGCGTGGAGGTACAGCAGACACAGGAGGTGGAGAACTGGTGGGAGAGAGGAGTGGGTGGCGGTCGCCCAACGAGCAGGGATCGCTGTCCAGTGCTCGGTAACCATGCTGCAGAAACCCAAACGCACCCTGCGATGCAGCTGCCAATTCCCCCGAACCGATTCGCACGCGACCGAGTGCACCCGCGATTCCGTTGTCAGTCCAGGTGGCCAGGTGGGTCGCTCCGAGTCGCGAGCATCGCTACTTCGCTCAGATGAGCAGCTTTCTCCTCCTCCATGAGGATGTAAAGCCAAAAATACACCTGGCCGGTTTACCGTTTTGTCTAGTCGAGTGGGGTTTGTTTTGCTACTACAACCCACAAAAGGAACCGTGCACAATGTTCCAGAATGCAATAGTACCTGGCGGTTTACACAACCCGAGAGGCAATGACTCGCATTTACAAACAGCAGTCAGACCTCTTACCGGGAAAATATACAATGGACGAGTGACACCATTGTCATTACACCGTTTCCAAAAATCCTCTTTTGGGCGAGATATAAATTTACCGTTCAGCAGATTTTAGTGAAGGAGACGGACAGGGCCGTTCGAGGTAAAGAAGGCCCCACTCCTTCTTTCGCATGGATGTAGATGCAAAGCAACTACATTTTCATTCAGGTGGACAAGCCAGATAACCGTCAGGAGTCGCGTAATCACCGCTCTGACGTCTCCTTCGTATGTGGATCACGCATTGCGTGGTTATATACTGTATGTATATATAAATATTCACCGTTTCAAGTCGAGGCCAATCCCTTTACTCACTGGCAACGCAAAGTGTAGCTCTTCAAATGGATTCCCACAATAGCTGGTGACCAAACGAATACTGCCAGAGCAATCTCAATCTGCAAAGAAACATGCACACTTTTACTGCGGCTATTTTAAAATGCGATGCCATCTATTAAGAAAGCCTCGTTTAGAAATAGGGCATTTACAAATCTGACGCAGGATCAAAGCCTCCGCCTGCGGTCGTCAGCACATGGCACGCAGCGTGTGCCTTCATTTTAAGCTGGGGGGGGTAACCATTTGGGATTGACGTTGATGACCCAAATTTCCACACCACTCTCCCTTTCCCAGCCGGTGCGCGTCCGTTGCAGGTCCACAACCAACTCTTACGACGAGAACGAAGGGATGCTCACGGTTTCACTAATACAACGCTGGGTTTTTGGTTATTTGCCACCAATCAATGACACGATTCGGTTTACGGAAAAAAAATATTTCTGGGTCTCCTTTGTACTGTTCATCTCCTATGTTCAGTTTTGTAGATTAAATTAGCATTTTTAATACTAACAATAACAGCAAGGGCACAATCACATAGCTGCAGTGCGAGACTTTAATTTCCTTTAAGCTTACGGTTTCTAGAGTGATCGGAACAGTCTACAGGACTTACACAGACTGACATCAATAGCAGTGAACAAGCACACTGGTAAACGAAACATCTGAGTGTCCACGCATTTTCAAAGTTTGTTTGGCTTTGAGAAAAAAATAAGAATCACAAGCAGGCCATCTGAATGATAAAATCTGTTAATTTTTTTTTAACTATCGTGTTTTGTAAACAGATTTCCCTTCTTGAAAAATCGGACAGGTCAAAAGGCAGATAATTTTTAAATAGGTTCCAGACGCCACACGATTTTGCTTTCAAGTTCTTCCCGACTCCGTGCAGCCCAATTTTACCATTTAGACGTACAGACAAGCCACTGAAAATCAGTTTATGAACTTACATTGTAACACACACACACATACTTGACAACAATGCGATTCCCAAAGGTGACCACACCGTGAGCCCCAATAAACGGGAAGCTCTCAGGGCCCATTAAATTAATGGGCCGTGTACACATCACGTGCAGACGCCCTGGGCAGCACGGAAATCGACGTTGGGAACCTGAAACGAGGAACCAGACTGCAAAACAATCACTTTCAACTACGATCCAGTGCCCAACCAACCGTGATGTTCCAAAAACCGTTTCGCAACCAATACTCTTTCAAACAGTGGGGTACTGTATAGCAAGAGCTCATGATATTGACGCTCCCTTAGTTGCAAGGTTTCTTTACAACCACTCGCTGCAATAAAAGGGCAGACAGAATGGTTGACACGAACACACGCTTCCTCTTCTTGGCGTCCCAAAAAATGTAGGTCAATTTCCATGATACCTTGTGGCCTAAAGGCGTTTCATATCATAGTGGCACTTTATTGAAACTAGCACAGTGCGTGAAATGTTCTACAGGGGCACCACAGGGCATGGAACACACGCGCGAGTCACCTGTTAAGAGCATGGGGTTTGTTTTGGAGGGAACAGGCACTCGCGCACACGTTACTACACAATACAGGCACACAGTGCTAGCCAGCGACTCCAGCCTGAGCCACACCTCACGTGCAAGCTCACCACCGATACACAACAGTCATATATATTAACGTCTGCAGGATATAGTTATTTTTACAGTGGATGGAAGCGTGCAGATTTTGAGATGGTGCACACGGGGAGTGCGTTTCTGCTCCGGTTGAGCGAGCGCCGTAGAGCCATGTGCCACGCGCTCTACTCCGGGTTTTGCTCGTGGGTAAAGTGTGCGCTTGGGTGTGGGTGGATAACAGGTGGCGGTCCGTTGGTCCAAGTATGTTCACGCCAGTCGCCATCCCTCCTACATTATTTAAATCGCAGTGTTTCACAACGCGATTTGCTAAATAAATCAAATTAAAGTGGCTAATCCCATGGGAATATGGAATTTCCACCGCTCGCTCAGACTTGCCAACAGAGATGTCGTTTGAGCAGACACCGACCTTTTAAAGGTTGTTGGGAAGTGTGCGGCCGCCAAGATGTGGAAGGCGTAATCAAGCTGACAAAAGGATAAAATTTAGTCACACAGGAGGTTTTTCAGGACCTGTGGCTAAATTGAGCACTCTGTTGTCTAAATCAATCCTAATATGCAGAACCACACTCAATGTTGTGTGCATAGGCCCTCTTGTTCAATTATGTTTACGGCACAATTTACTGCACTTGGGAGTCCGAGGAGCATAATTTTAAAACCCGGAGTGAGAACACGGTGGCGATGGTTCAAACGGGAGTGAAGCCGGCACTGTGCACGCACACACACACGTACGCACACACACACACACACACGTACGCACAAATGCAAACGCACACAAAAGCTACGAGGACCCGGAACACAGGCCCCACTCGACTATAGTCCCAGGAGGCCCGCACGGCACAGCCGCAGATGAAGGAAAACATTCAAATCATCGTTGTCAGCATGGTTTAGTACAGGGTACAGATAGATTTAGTTCCTCGTCTGGGCTGTGTACATTTTGGGCATGCGAGCCTCTTTCCAGGCCTGCTTCACTTCTTGGCGTTGATGATGTCGATGAACTCGGGCTTGAGGGAAGCACCGCCCACCAGGAACCCATCCAGGTCAGCCATGCCCGCCAGTTCCTTGCAATTCGATGCCGTCACGGAGCCTGCACGGAAACACACAAAGCACCTATGAAGGCTGGCACGGCGCACGAGGGTGTGCTGTGGGGCAGCACGATGATATCACTCTCCGTTGATATCAGCTGTGGATGGGAAATTCATTCGGGTAAACACGTTTAGAGCACAGAGCACGAACCACTGCATCTCGCTTTCCAAATCAGACACTTCCATAGAAGTATACGTACAAAAGTATACTCATGCACACACGCAGGGGTACTTAACACAATTTCCACAAGCAAACTGAAATATATATCAATAGGACTACAAAACTAACATTAATTCCAAGGAGTTTTTCCAAATAAAGGTTTTCTACAAAACCCCCAGTGACAAACACGGCATTGTGTGGCAGTAGATTAGTGGCACCAAGTGGCCACATCTTCAAGAACTTAATTTCAATTTAGCATCTGTTTCTGTTCAATCAAGCCTACAACTGCAGTGTTACAATGACCATCATGACCTCTAGCCACCTGGCTTGCATTTCGTTGTGCAACTGTGAAAGCGATAGCTGCATCAAGTCATCGATACATCAGCATTAAAACGAGACAATCCATCATGCTTATGTTTATCAATCCAAAGTCAAAGGGTCTCCATGCCGGAACTAAACATGGGGCAGCATTTATCTAAACTAAAAAACTAAACTATTTTTTTTTACCAGATAAGGCCCACTGAGCTATATAGTTATTTTCAGAAGCAACCTGGCCACAAATGATAGCTGAACGAAGTGGATTATCGTGTGGACCTTTATAGCAACGCACGTCGATTCTAAAATGGAGGGAAAAACCGGAGAAAACTCCACGTGACCACGGGGAGAGAGACACAAACCAAATATACAGCAGGCATCAGGGTCAGGATCGAACCCACGACTTCCTGTATACCAGGCAAGGTATATAACATCTCGCCACCGTGGCCCCATGTGTTGCAGGCCCCGAGCGTTCGGTTTGGACTCCAGCACAGCCCTGCCCCAAGTGCGTCGCACATGCCTCTGCGTGCTCCGCACGAGCCACACACAGGCATCGAGGGAGAGCCACGAGGCTTCATGCTAGGGGCCAGACCCACGAGCGGGATCCCCCCCCCCCCCCCCCCGCTTGCCTCCATAGATGATGCGGGTTGAGTTGGCAACAGCCTCGGACACGTGCTTCTTGAGCCAATGGCGCAGCTTCTCGTGAACTTCCTGGGCCTGTGGGGACCAAAACACAAATCCGCATATCACCACGTCGTTTTTGGAGAGACAACCATAAAATCGATTGTGTGCCGCCACAGCGCATTTTTTCGCACTACTGGAGTGTGCCTGGCAAACCTGTTACATTTCTACTTCAAGGTGCACAGTGCATTGTGGGAGCAAGTACTAAAACTATATCATAAACACGCAATGAATTGTAGGAACTAGCAGTGCAGTTATGTTGTAGGTGCATGGTGGGAGCCAACTCTGTTAAACCAGTGAAGGTTGACATGCCTGGGAATGAAAATAACCAATGGTATAATATGTCGGCCTTAATAGGTGTTTGCTAAAAGGCTCTTGCATGAATGTGGGCTACACGGGGGATCTTTATCTTTGTGGTACCCATCTCACCTGCTGGGGCGAAGCGGTCTTGCCCGTGCCGATGGCCCACACCGGCTCGTATGCCAACACCACCTTGCTCCAGTCCTTCACGTTGTCTGGTGGGGGGCAAAGCATGGCACAGCGGAGACTTGTCACATTGTGACCACAGACGAGCGAGATCACCTTCATTAACCATGAGCAGTACAATCCATTGCAATCAATGCGTCGTTAACAACTAATATAACCATGCAGGGTACTTCACACACACGCACGGCCATGTGAGGGTGGGGAGGGGCAGCACCTGCGATGTGCTTGGTCTGATCGAAGACGACCTTCTCGGTGACGCCAGCCTCCCTCTCGTCGAGCTTCTCTCCGATGCAGGCGATGACGCCCAGGCCCTCGCTCAGGGCGTGCGCCACCTTCTGGCCGATGAGCTGCAGGGGGGGCGGCAACGAACGACGGCTCAACAGGCGGCGGCGTGCTCGTCCGTCGCGGCGTGCGCGAGGGCGAGACGCGGGGCATCACGGGGGACACCCACAATACCCTGCGCGGGGCCCACGCAACGCCGGTCAGATCGTAATCGGACCGATTCCGTTGGAACTGATACAATTTGAACGTCTAATTCATTTAAACACAACTAATGGAAGAAAGCCGCACAGCGAAGAAAGACGCACGCCATGCGTGGGAAGGAGGATTTTCTTCAGACGTTTTTCAGAGGTGAGGGAGTGAGGGGGTACCCCAGAAAGCTTCATTCCACAGAATGGGGTGGGGGGGGGGGGGGCCCTACCTCATCGGTCTCCCCGAACACGTGGCGGCGCTCCGAGTGGCCCAGGATGACCCAGTGAGCACCACAGTCCTTGATCATAGCCGGGCTGCACAGCACGGCCCATAGGGAAGAGGAAGACACCACATTACACGGCAAGTGTCAAATCGTTCCTCTGTTGCTGTGGCATCTTGATGACGGGGGATGATGGTCGAGGACGCTGGAGATTTGGCATCGCGCCTTGACAGTGGACCCTCTTGTTCCATCGTGCGATGCTCCTTCAAGCATTAAGTCAAAATAAAAATCTGGTAACACACCGGAGCGGTTCGCGCACATCGCGATATGAACCTAGCTACCAGTTTGATTTCCGACCGCGGCTAACATTAGTGGCGAGTGATATCCGAACCTATGAGTATTATTCTCTTCGTACGTGTGGGTTCGTGCCAGGTAATCCAATTTCCTTCCACATGCAAAAACCCTTAAACAACCACACTCGTGAAACGTACGAGTGTGGGGCACTTCTAAACAGTCACAACTCCGTCAAACTTTCTTGTATGGAAAGGACATTGTGGTTATTTCATGGACATTTTTGAACAAGTAGATGAAACATACTGTGGCATGCTTTTCTGGAACAACTTTGTAAGACCACGTAAACATCCGGGTGAATGTTAAACCAAACGATTAATGAATTAATATAGTAAATTTACTACACACCCGGGGTGAAAAGCAATCTCATCCATGGGCAGAAATGTTGAGTCAAATTGGTGACCTCATTTGTTAGTGCGCTTTAAAAAATTGCAAAAAATGAATTGAACAAAAAAAACACAACTCAGGAATCAAGTCAAAGGGTCTCTCCCTGCTCAAATGGCAATGAGGCGGTGGGCACTATAAGCACGTTTGGCTGGTCCCAGCCAGTGAAGGAAATTCCACTTTAATTCGGACACTCGAGAGTCTCCTCACCTAATCTCGCCAGTGAAGGCCCCCTTGGCCAACTTGTAGCAGTTCTGTGCAGCCACGCCGATCTTGGGGTCCAGCTTTTGGCGTGCAAAGTCGATATAGATGGCAGGGGCACCGCAAACGATCTCTACAAGCACACGTACACAACACACACACGGGTAACTTAAACTCCTGCCCAACGTTGGAGATACAGACGAGTGGCCGGGTTGAGCTGGTGGTGCGCATTCAGTCGTTGAGCCCATGCCAAATCACTTCCCATGCTGTTGACACCTGCAGAGGCTTTCATGAGTGCAGGCATAGCTTTTAAGGAGGGCGTTACACCATTGCTGAGCAAACCACCATGATTAATAATTCAGTACGTACCCACATAGGCAAGAGACGTTATGAAACAATGTAAGCATGCCGTGTGATGTTTTTACGGGCTCAGGTGTAAAATTAAGTAAGCAAATGGTAAGGAGCTGTCTGTCACAATCATCGTGAAGCAGTGACCCTCCAACAGCAGCCCTGATCAAACAGGAGACGTGCACTGCTCGGGAGCTGGGATCGTCAATTTAAGTTTTTTCAGACAACGATGACCTGCAGAGGGATATTACTGCTCACCCTTTTAAGCCAGCCCACCAGCAGACAATTAGACATAAAGACAGATCAATAAAAGACAGGCGACAAGCCATATGACTAAAAGGCAGACCCAAAAAAAGAAAAACCAAAGCCAAGTAAACATTCATCATGACACTCATCTCCGCAAATTAAAAGGACCGCTGAAGTAGACAGTAGAAATGCTCCACCCAATCTGCAAGAAGCTGCCCTGCTGTCTACCCAACTATTGCAGCGATTGGAGGGTCATCAGAGGCATGATGGGCATGAGATGTCACCTTCAAATTTAGAACCTCCCGAGTCAGCGTCTGAGCTTATGAGCGGTGACCTTACAGGAATCTTGTACATTTACAGCAGAGGCTACTGGAGTCTTAAAATAACCCCAACTTGCCCTTTACAAAAAAATGCCATGTCCTTTTATTAGCCTGGTGGCTACTCCGGTTTCAAGGGAGCCTACTGCACAGTGAATGTGCTTTCTGCACAGCCACCTCTGCACGTACAACATTCACCACGCGTTCAATAATGCAGTGCGCACGAGTGGTGTAAATGCAATGAACGGTGTCTCGTTACTAACCACCGCAAAACCCCATGCAGCCTGTGCGATACGCCAACCAGGCCAGACGAAATGTCAATCAGTACCAGCTTCCTTATTTGTGCATCGAGCTGCAACCTCAATGAAGGCATGGATCAGCATTAGTTTATTATAGCATTCGTTTTTTTCTTCGCGATTTGCCCGTGGCATAGACGGGGAGGCGAAAGTGGGGTCGAACAAAGTGCCAGTTGTGTATATTTCGGGAGAGCCGAGGGTGCCAAGGTGACACCAATGTGGGTCTTTGCAGGAATGATGCGTTACATGACAAAATGGCGTGCAGAGAGCGGGGTTTGTGTGTGGATTTTTTTCATTGCCCAACCCCTTTCTTCTGCCTTCCCACGATGGAGCCACTCCCTGCGCCCAGTGGCGACTGAGCACAAGCCAAAACGTGGCAAGGGCAGTGGGGTCGGTCGAACGTGGTTTGATTTGTTAGTCCGTTGTCCCATTTCACAGGCCACAGAATAAATTTTGGTAAAACCTGTGATGGCATAAAAGAGTGAATTACAGGGGAACTTCTTTCAAAACGAGTAAGATATAGGCAAGCGACGGCTCACCGCCTCTGAACAAAAAAAATCTGACTCTCATTAGGTACACAACAAACTGTGTGCAAGAAACGATAGGATTTGAGCAAGCTAGATGCAAATGTTCCAACACCCCTGCACCTGGCAACGCAGGGATGTGGAACAGGAAATCACCTAGAATGGGGGCAGATGGTTGAGATTTGTAAGGGGTAGCAATGTCAGGTTGTGCATTTGGGTGTCTGTGATTGCTGTGGGTGTGTGCAAGCATCAATTGCTCAAGTGACACCAAGACGACTCTCCATTGAGACATGCGTGTACAAGACGTGCCACCAGCATTCAGAGACCTGAGGAGGGCAGTGATATTATTACACGGGATCCTATTGCATCCTTTGCACTCAGGCAAATGCCAACCATGCTCTGATATTGCAGCGATTGAAAAAGAGTTGTAACTTTATGACCTGCTTCTACTGGACATCTGTGAAAAAGAGCTTCATAGCTCATCGGATTCTCCAGGATAAAAAAAAATAATAATCAGATTTTGAATTTAAACGAACTTCCTATTGTGGGTCAACTAACCAATCCTTGGACCGTCATTATTGTTAAGTTTTTATGCGAAAAGTATTGGTGTTGACATTTTCCTACTAGCCAGCACAGGCTAGTAGTGACTTGCGAGTTCTCAGATTTTATCCAGTGAGGGTGACCACTGCAGAGACGAATCAATGAGATGAGCTCATGCGCCGGATTGCGGCATTGCAGACCGATGACCTTCATCCATCAGTGGATAGACCACGGCTGATGATCACAACTGACGGTGTAAATGTGCACTTTTTTTCTCCAATCAACTGCTGGATGACGGCAACCGCCATTGCTGCATTGAAAGCTAAACTGGACTGGTGCACACGTGGAAATGGTGGGCGTACCCACACTTAGCCCCACCACACGCGACCTGCCGATATTACTTCACCGCGTACCCATCTCGTGTACGCTACAGCTGTACTGTTGGGCAGACACCTCCGCGCTAACCGCTGCGCTCCAGCAACGCTACGTTGTCATCGCGGGTGCACGCGCACTGCGGTGGTGGTAACCGCACCGACGGGTCCCTCTCTCACGGACACAACTGCGGCACCGCGAGTCCATTTGTGCCACTGGCGGGCGGGCTGGGGGGTCAAATCGACGGGCCACGCGCCCCACGGCCCCTACCGCAGAGCGCTGGGTCAGGCGCAGTGCGCATGCGCGGGGACGACCCCCTCCCAGCCCCGCCTCTCCCCACCGCGCGCGCGACCTTCACCGAGCGCGCGACCTCCACCTCAATTAACACGGAAAATTATGACGGCTGTGCAAATTGCAACGCTGTAGTGAATTAACGGCGTCCCAATTAATGCGCGTTAATAAATGACGCATGTATATATCTGTTTATTAATTGTAAATGCCCGCACGTCAGCGCGGCGAGTGACGACATTCGCGGACGCGTCGCCTCGCAGATCCGCAATGGCGATGGCCGCCGAGGCTGAGCCCTCGGCTCTCAATCCCCTCAGCAATTAGGTCAAATTTTAAAAAAAAACTCGACTATAGTTAACTAAAAACAAGATTTAAAAAATAAAAACACGTTAACAAAAATTATAACGCTTGTTTAACCGACGGCATTGCAGCGGTCGGTTGCAGCTGCGTTGCATTCAAATGACGAGTCGGCGGAGTCAGGCTAGCCCAGGGATTAGCAACCAAACAACACGAGCCACTCTTTTTAAATTGGGTAAAAATTAACCCCTCTATTTCAAGAGCAGCAATGCACGCGAATACTCGACGCTGGTCCTTAATAAATGACATCTCTTAAGTGCTTAAAAAGCCGCAGGTTGCCGACCCATGGGGCTAGGCCATTGAGATTGCACACCCGAGTATAAATATGCACGAGAATGTGAACGTGTGCATGACAGTTGTGTAGGCTCTTGCGTATTCATTTGGTATGTGGAGAGTTGCGCAGGGCGATTTACCAGTGTTGGGGTCGAGGGAAGCCTTGTTCATGGACTCGGCCAACGCGCCCAGGCTCGCCTTGTCGCCATTCAGCTTCCAGTTGCCACCGACGAAGAATTTCCTGCTTGGTGCCATTGCGTTCGAGTGTAATTGTCGAGGCGGGAGCTGACAATGAACAGATGAGAGTCGACAAGCACGGCGCGACTGACGAAGAGTGTGCAGGTTGCACGCGACTTTATAGGAGCGAGGCGACCAATCAGAGGTCGCCTCTCGTGCGTGCGGCGCTGTCAGCCAATCGGCGCGCGCGTCTCAACAGCGACGAAGCCTGTCCCTTACTTGGGCACGGTTTGGTTGGACCCAAGACGATCGCCCACCGATCTGCCGGCCGTCTGCTGTGATTGACGGCCTTTAAACGGCCACGCGGGAGAAATTTGAGATTCAGTTTCAGTTTTCAGTTTCATTAATTTGGTATAGCCCTGTGAGCCATTCGGCTCTTGAATCGGGTGCAACCGCAACAAACAAAAAAAACTAAAACATGAACAAGAAAACATCTTAAAGTGCAAACAGAAAAATTCAGAAAAAAACAGCAAAACTCTTCCAGAAAAAGCACCGTACACCAACGCTGTGTGCAAAAATCCCAGTGTGATGCAAGTCAAACAACAACAACCACCACAAGACAACTTAGATTAAGGCCATCGGTCTAAATCCGTACTACAACAAACATACATGGCCAAACCAAAAAAAGTTTCGAAATCACCAAAATAAAGCCATAAAAGCAATGTAACAGTGATCATAGGAACTGTGACCGAAATTTCACAATAAACGACATAAACAACATGTACCACCAAACCCTGCAGCCATAGCTGGCTGCATGAGTCACTCCACAACAGCAGGAGCATCAGTAGGAGTATCAACATTTTTCAATGCATCTTTAAAGATCAGCACACTAAATCAAAACACAAGATCATACTTTGCAGCGGTCATCCGGAGCGAAGCATTTGCTTTTAGACCTGGTGCACAAGCCGTCGAACATTAAGAGATGTTAAGTTTGACCCAATGTAGAGATCACAGTGGTGAGTCTTATATGGGCAGTTCAATGCAAATCTGAAGGCCGAGTGATAAATTGAGTCAAGCTTCTTCAGTGCAGAACTGGGGGCTGATTTATACACGATGTCACAGTAGTTAAGTAGAGGCAGTATGGTAGCTTTTATCAATTCCAAACGGAACATAGGGGGAAGCAGTGCTTGTGTCGATACAGAAAACCAATTTTTATTTGTCTTTTTACCAATATAATCAATGTGATCTTCAAAATTCAGTTTTAATCCAAGATGACTCCAAGATACTTATAGATCTTGACTTGCTCTATTTGATAATTATTTAAGGAATGTAATTGGGGAAAAATAACTTCTGCTTTAGTCCTGGTGAGAAGCATAGCACCTTAGTTTTGGAGGTATTCAGGACTAGTTTAAGAGCAACTAGCTGACGTTGTAGTTTGTTGAAATCACCGTGGAGCTTAGCAATCACTTCATCCGGAGAGCGGCCAGCAGTAATCAATAACGTGTCATCTGCAAAATTCACCATCCGTTGTGATTGGCGCCCAATTATTTAACCAATTAAAGCGACTGAGGTTAAAGCTACTAGAGCAATCGTCCTGCGTTTGCCGGTGGTTTCGAAACGTCGAAGCTTTTATTAAATCATGATTTTTTAAATCTTCCTGAATATTTCTTCTGCAGCGTCACTTCCAGCATCGAATCTTAATGTCTGTAATTGCAGAATGCTTTGCCGAGTGGTCCTTGTAAAAAGCTTCTTAGCTCTACGGCCTTTACTCGGTGGGACATTGCACGCTTCTGGTTCTTCTGAATCTTCCAGAAGCAATTTTTTTCAGTCGTTTCAGCAATCTTCCGGCCTGTATGAAAACCGGGCCCTGGTTCGTATGGAAGAGATATTCCAGAAGATATCTTCCGCATGATTAATTCTGGAAGTAGTTTTCGGAAGATATCTTCTGGAATATATAATTATGTTCTCGCCGTGACATCTTCTGGAAGATATATTCCGGAAGACGCCATCCTGGGGCCTTTTAAAACGCGCCCACGTCTTCTGGAAGCACTTTGCGACCCACAGGGCACCACTGGAGCGGCCGCCGCTGCTGCTGTTGTTGTTGCCTGGGTCTGGTGCTGTGATCCTGTTATCGTCGCCGCCGCTGTTGGTTCAGTCTCGAACCGTCGGTAGTGCGTGCCCCGATGAATCCTGCGCGCTCCGACGCCAGCCCGTGCAGCTCCAATGCGGGTAACGACTGCGGGCCGAGTCGGGGGTGCGGGTAGCCTCGCCTGGCTCAAGCCTGGCCACGAGGCCCTCGTAGGCGCCCATTGAATAATGTTGGTAGCGGTGCCGATACGTTATAACGTGTAAATATAAACACAGACACATGGTGTGTGTGTGACAGATCATTATATATAGCACTGTGGACGTGTACAGCAGCTAACATCTGAACAGTTTAACGTGATTACACAGAGCTTCTACAATAGCTACGTTTTAACAGCAGCTAACAGATAAAATAATGCAGCCCAGTGACTGCTTGTGTGTATAAAAAACACTTGCATATAACAAAGCGTATTTATATAGCAGCTTGCGTGTTTGATAGCTACCTCAAACATCTTGTGTGACAGATAATTTCTCGTCTTGAAAACTGGCAAGTCCAGGTCTGTCCTAACACCCTCTAGCACCCGCTTATATTTTGAAATAATTGATACTAGGTCTGATCCAATTACAGGAGCATTGTTACGAATTGCGTAATTGTGCCCAGGTTTGATGCGTGTGTTTTCTTATTGGATGCTACCTTAGCATTACACTGTAATGATTTAACTTTATTACCGGTCCTGGTTATCAAGGATATCGTCTGACTTTGATACATGGCGATGACGTTGGTGGCGATGGTATTGGTTGATGGCGATATTAAACGGTGATTGTTCAGAGTCCGAGTCCAAGGCGATGATCATCGATGGGCTGCACGGAGGCGGCTCCTCGGCCCACGTCAACGGGGACCGATCTCACGTGGACTTCCCAGCGCTCAACGACCTCCTGCAGAACCTGGAGGACTACACACCCACGGTGCGCCCGCAGCACCACCCACAGTGCCGATATAACGAGGCCATTTGACCTACGAATTGGCTTGAGTAGTGATACCCATAGAGGTGCGTTTGGTGTCAAGACAGAAAAAAGTCAACCTGCGGTTCGCGTGACTTCAGCCGGGATGCCTTGTCTATTTAAGGCTGTGCGTGATATTCGGTGGCGGCTGCTGAAAACTCTTCACGTGTCCATTTTAAAAAAAATCAACTTTTTCCCGGTTTGTCCAACTAAAATCCGCCAATATTTCTACTAAACTGTAGAATGTGAGCCTCTTAAATGTTTTTTACGTAAGTAAGTGTGAGTTTCATAAATTTGTATCGTAGGACATTAATGAAGCGTGGAAACCTTGGGGAGGCCTTCATCCAGCAGTGGATTAATATGGCTGGTGATGATTGTGTACCACAGTACTTTTGCTTCACAGTGACTGAAGGTTTAATTAACAATTTCTTTCGATGTTCAGGTTCCAGATGCAGTCACGGGATATTACCTTAATCGTGCTGGATTTGAGACTACAGATCCCCGGATGTACGTATGGGTGACACACCACTCCATAACCGCTTTCGGCATTGTCACTCAGGACTTTGGTGGTTTTGAGACCGATGTCCTGACGCACGAGAATCACAAACTAATGAAACGCTTTGTACTGGTAAAGTATGGTCAAACAATCCTCATGACTGACAATGCACGGGGAGGCCTTCATCCAGCAGTGGGTTGAGAAAGGGCTGTAAATGATGAATTATTACGGAATCAAAGCATCGCCTACACCAATATTAAAAGCAATGAAACAAACCTGCAACTCCACAAACAACCAGCAGATGTCCTTCACATTTAGTGAGCCAATGAATTGTTACAAATTAGTCGTGATTAGATTCAGTAACTCTTTGGTACTTCGTTTGTATAGTTCCTCATTAGTTTTACTTCGAGTGAATGAGATAATACAAACGAGACAGGTATCCTCATCACCAGTACTATTTAGCACTGTTGCAGTTTGCATACTCCACTTGTTTTACCATTCTGTTTGTCTTTGTGGTAACGTGTCTTGCGTAGGTAGCGCTATTTCATAGTGAACAGTTTGACGTTTCTGATTCGTGTCTATTTTTACTTCGATGTGCCGACTTGTATTGATCTCTCGAACCGTCTCTGTCCTTCCTGCCGTTTCCAGAATCCGTCTCATCTCTCTTGCTGCGCAGAAGTTCATTTCGGACATCGCCAACGATGCGCTGCAGCACTGTCGCATGAAGGGCACCACCTCCACCACCTCGCGCAGCAAGAGCAAGGTGTGTCCTCTCACAAACCTGCATGCCTCCTCTCACAAACCTGCATGCCTCGCATGTCCCCTCCCCTCACTAACGCGTTCGTTTGTGCTACAGGAGAAGAAGTGCACGCTGACCATGGATGATCTCATCCCGGCACTCGGCGACTACAATATCAACGTGAAGAAGCCTTGCTACTTCACTTAGAGACACATGTCCAGGCCCACACCTTGCGAACAACGCCTTGTTTGTGTACTTCTGTTCTATGTTGAATTGTTTGAGCAGGAATCTTAGCTTGGTGTTGCTAACTCACTGTCAGAAGCCTGGCAGAGCTGTGTTGTCTGATTTATTGAACTGCCAGTTGCGATTGGGTTGGCTCATTGAACTGGCTTGCAAGTTTCTGAATTTTGGCCTGCAGATGTCGGGTCAATGAGTCAATGTACCACTCGCTGTGCTCTTAACAAGTCTTCATTGACGGAGGCTCACCGGCGGCAGGGATTCGGTGTGAGATCGGTGGTAAGTGCACCACGTTGGCCAGTGTTGTGGGAACCATGTGAGTTGTTGATGGCACGCAAGTTTTGTGAGGCGGTGTTGTGTCTGCGTGTGGTCGGTGAACTGATGCTTGGCGTAGGTGAACATTGCTACTCGCTCAGAACGTTAAACGAAACATACAAAGGAAGGAGAGATGGCTCCGCCGAAGGTAGTTGTCGGAGTTTTATTGCGTTGGCTAGGAGATGTAAACGAAGACCCACGTGTTGTAAACATGAAAATGCTACATCGATATGAATGACTCACATCAAGTTCAAATCAAGATCGATATGAATTTTTTAAACCCTCATGTTTTATGTTATGAAAATGAAAAATGTGAAAAATAAACAGTTGATAATGCAATTATTTGTGGATGTGTGTGTGCACATGTCTATTAAACTGGAGGGATATTGTAGATGGTCCGAAACTTCTGTAGACTCGACAATATTCACTTTTTTGAACTGGACATTTAAACCCTTGGAACACATTTTTACAACCCAGATACAACGCCATTCGTATCTGTATCGCACATCCACACATCTCTACAGACCATCTGCACGCACGCTACCGCGTGCCCGACGAGGCTACGATCCGAGCAGGGGGTGTGCACCGCAGGCTATGGAGGGTTGCTGCTGGTGCAAGTTGGGAGCAGCAGGGATCCGAGTGGTTCGGACCGATCCGGCATTGCCACCAGCGCTGCTCATCGCCGTTCGGCCTGGTTCAACCAAAACGAAGTTGAAGCAAAATGTTACGATGGTATAATCCGTTTCACAAGACATTGATTCGTGTCTTGCAACAGCTTCGTCTGGAGGGAACCTGTCCCAGCACGGCCTTAATCACTTAATATTTGTTTAGAATTTTCATGAAACATGGCATTTGTATGGAAATGCTTTTGCACAATTGTATGGATGTAAAGATGCATCGATTCACTGACAATCTGATGCGTGCACGGAATCGATAATCGTGCATGTATATTATAAGCAAATGTTACATGGAGACTAATGGAACAAAATAATACTACATACGAGACATTGTATTGGAAAATTGCACGAGGTAGCAAATAGAAAATAAATTATTATTGAATCAACTGAAAATTTGTCAAATAATTACAAACTTAATGACCGTTTGGTAGCTAATGTTAGCCATGGCTGGGAATTGAACTCCGGTGCTCCCTGGGTTCATAGCGCACTATGCTATGAACACCCGACATAGCACTTGGAGAATTATGGGTAACATGATCCTACGTGACAGCACGCAGATGGTTGACCATTCTTCACCACGCTGCTTGGTGGAGCTTAGTCAAGGAGCAATCCTATCACGAGCCATGTTCCATCTGCTGCTGGATGAAGCCCCCAACGAGCCGTCGCCATCACGACCACAATATGTAACCTACTTAACACCTGCACGTGAACCAATTCATCGCTCCATATTATGACAGTAATAATGAACACAAGTGCATCTATCTATACGAGGAGTCTTGCTGAGGCACAACATCTGAGGTCGGCAACTGTGTTCACGAGTGGGAGATTCCTGGATGTGCGGGTATGCCCACAGATCAACGGAACAATTATATCAGAGGTGTGTCAATCACCGAGTCACTCAGCGCGGCTGGAGGTGGTGGTCCCGTGATTCCCCCCTCGCTTCCCCCGTGGCTCCCCGGCGCTTCTCCGGCGCTTGCTTGGAGCCCCGCGGCCACGCTCTGTCGGCCGGTGCCCCCGTGCTGCTGGAGCGCTTGCTCCATTGTGGAGTAATACTCCAGCGCCTTGCTCACCGGCTCCACCAGCTGCTCCTGCGCGCGCTCACACACGGTCGCGGGAACGCAGCGACGGTGGCACCACCACCACAGTGGAACATGGCTTGTTTTATTATTATTACTACTCTGCTTGTTTAGCCAGAAAAGCCTCACGAAACCTCGCGTCTCTTTTTCAGGAGGGTCTTGCCAAGTTTACGCAGGGAAAGAGATGAAGGGGCAGCCGTACCCTTGCTGGCCCGACGCCACGGCTAGCCCAAGGGCTTCTGCTAGAACGGGGGTCGGCAACCTGCGGCTCCGGAGCCGCCCTGTTGCTCCTTGGCTGCCCCCTTGCGGGGAGCCGTTTTAAAAAAAAGGGAAATGTTAAACATAATTTTACGTAACAGTAATGTATTAAATATGGCAGGGAATGGGGTCACTGTAATGTCCTGGTGACTACAAAGTGTACAGTAAAACTGTATTGTTAAACAATAACTAAAGGGGAACAAACTAATTAGACAGTTTATTCCATCACCTATTTTTATTTAAGTCAATGTGTTGTCATCTGCTGTGTACCGGCTGCTATGTTTGTGTTCAAGTAGCTCTGCGTATGATGCGGCTCAAGAAAGCCCCTTTTACGGGGTATTTGGCCTACTCTCCACACCGGCCCAAATCGTGACAATCCGTCGAGTGTCCGCGCGTGTGGATGGTTTCGGTGGCCACCTCCGTGCTCGCAAGCCCGGGAGCCGAGCGGCAATAGTCCTCAATGATGGGCCGTGTTTTCCGGCAGTATTCACCGGCCGTGTTCACCGGTTGTGTTCATTGGGCCGTGTTCACTGGGTTGTGTTCACTGGGCCGTGTTCACCGGCCAAGTTCGCCAGCCGTGTTCACCGGGCCATGTTCACCGGTTGTGTTCACCGCGCCGAGTTCAACGGCCGTGTTCACTGGGCCATGTTCACCAGCCGTGCTCACCGGCCGTGTTCACCAGCCGTGCTCACCGGGCCGTGTTCACCGCCTGTGTTCACTGGGCAGTGTTTACCGGCCGCGTCTACTGGGCCGTGTTTGCCGGCCGTGTTTGCCGGCCGTGTTTACCGGTGGCACTGCTCCTGGTTATTTTTATGCAAAGGTTGTCTTTAATGTTAGCCTGCGGTTTGCTTTCATGTTTACGAAATTAGTTCTTTAGACTTCTTTAATAGCCATTTAACAAAAGTGACAAATGATTGGGAATTTTTTTTTCATCATGAATTATGAATGAGCCTCTTATATTGCTCACATCAAAACAAACATGGACACAATGCACCAAGCAAATTTGCTGAAGTCCAGCGAATTAGCCTAGCCCCATGAAAGATGTGCTCCATTAATGAGTCTCGGCAATTAATGGCAAGCAAAAATAAAATACACCTCATTATCATCACACCTGGGCTTTCGTAAACACGATCTTGTTAAATTATATATATACCGGTTTCTGGTTCTCAACCTGGCATGTCATTGTCTTTGTCAGGGCCATTATGAATCCAGTGTGAGAGAGAGAGACACCCAGGCTCGAGGCTTGAACCCAGGACTCGTAGTAGTGCCGCCTCAGTGTCTCAGACATGGCATTGTGAATCTCAGGAAGAGCGATTGCGAGGACCCAGGGCTTGAACTAAGCTCTCAGCATTGCTCGCTCAGTGTCTCCAACATGAGAGAGATAACCAGGCACAATGCTTGACCCCGGATTGTAACCCAGGATCTTAGTAGAGCCACCAAGGCCATTGTGAGCCCGTGGTCCGCTGCGTTGAGGTGCGATCCACCGACCTGCAGGGCCGGGAAGAGAGTGGCGAGCGCCACGAAGAGCGGCAGCAGCACGTGGCGAATGAAGTTGACCTGCGAGGAGGAGCGCGACACCTTGTCGCGATCCATGAAGGGCGACACGGGCAGCCCCTCCAGCTTCTCCACGTCGCTCTGAGGCACACGTGCAGGGGCAGCGGCAGCAGCATGAGAAACAGAAGTGTTTTAGTGACAGCAGCAGCAGTGAGCGGTGCTGGTTAGGTGTACACTTGTTGGTCGAGTCCCCGAGTGCTGGATGCCTGGGGCCGAGTGCTCTGTGTTCCACTGGGGGAGTCCTCGTTAAACGCAGTAGCCACGTTCCGCCTCGAGCACCACCCCGGAACGATTCCACGCTCGCGTCCGGCACTTTCCCAACCGATGGCCTAGAACGTCGCCTCGCCAGCCCCGTGAACCCGGCTTTAATCACAGGCGACGGCTGCCTGGATTCACAGCCGGGATCTCAGAGGTGGCGGCTCGGTGCTCCGACCTCCGAGCCGCCCCTGGCTCCACGGTGACCCCGAGCGAGGCGAGACTCCGCGCGTGCCGCGACCGCCGCCGCCGACGACGACGATGTCGGCCGGTGACGAGCCGCGGGCTTCACCTGAGAGAAGAATTCCTGCAGCAGGCAGTCGAGCCAAGGCTCCGCCACCTGCATGGGCCTCGCCTCGTTGGAGATGTCGCTCACCTTGATCATGATCATCATGAGCTGCGGACAGACGGCTTGTGTCAGCATGCACTCAGGCACGTGTGTGTGTGTGCCTGAATGTGTGGTGCATCTGTCAGTCATCTCAGTCGACCCGTAGCACCTGGGTCTGCCCCGTGACCTCCTGCCAGCGGGCGTTCGACACACCACGTGGCCTCAATGTGCACATGGCCTGGCACAAGCGTCGTGGTGACGTCACCGCCACTTACTGGCGCATGGCGGTTGTTGTTGTGTGCCTGAATGTGTGGTGCATCTGTCAGTCATCACAGTCAGTCAACCCGTGGCACCTGGGTTTGTCCCATGACCTGCCAGCAGGCGTTCAACACTTCACGTCCCCTTAAAGTGCACACAGCCTGGCACAGGCGCCGTGGTGGCATCACCGCCACTTAGTGACAAATGGTGGCTGTTGTTGGATGTGTGTGTGCCCTGGGCATGGCGTTCGCCACCCACCTCCTCACGTGCCAGGCCGGCCTTCGTAGGTGCTCGCTAACTGCTCGTACCCCAACAGTCTGTTAAAGGCCATACGGTACTGACAGATGCTGCTGGACAACAGTGATATGGAAAGTCAAATTAATGGACGAAACATTAATTTGACTTTACAATCGTTTCGCCCGTTCATTCTTTACTTGCCCGAGGATGCAGCCCTGGGTCCAATAAAAGTGCTCTTGCGTGAGCTTACAGAGCACATTTAACTTCTTTACCTCGCTGATCTCGTCAAGGAGCTTAAATCATCACGCAAACTCCGGCTTTTGGCTAACCATCGAACAAAGACGGTCACTGCATTGTGCACTTTCAGATGCACTTCTGTGATCGTCTGGAACGCTCTTCCGATATTAGGAAGCCACTGGAGCTATGCACTTTTAAATCATCTAGATTGACAAACTCATTTCTGAAGAACTGCTTTTTGTCGTTAGTTTGTTGTCCTTCGAACTCACCTCCGATTAGCAAGGTTGGCTACGTACAATGTGAAAGAAGATGAAGGTAAATACATCTTACGATGCTAAACGTATACCAATGCTTGCACGGGTCATGCTGCCCTGACCAGCGCAAGAGCGTTGAGGGTTTTGACACGGGCATTGCGGTGCGAGCGCAACAATGGCGCTGCCGCCGGCGTCGTTGTTTCTG